AATTTAATATTATTAGTATTTTAAAAAATCTATAAAGAACTTACTGCGGAAAATCCCAACTAATAATGAAGATTAAGCATCAAATTGACAATCTAATTTAATTTGGCTTAAATTATTATTGTATAACTTGATTGTGTTGCGAATCTGAAAAATAATTGGCACGTCATATATCTGATGTGAGATTTTATTTAAATACACATGTATTATTCCAACATCTATATTGATCATAAGTGGTGCTTCTCTAATTTACAAAGTTGAGTTTACAAAAAAAAGATATAGTATATATATATGGCAATATGTGACATTATTTTTAGATATGAGCTGAATGATTTACGACCTTAGTGATGAAGAAAAAAAGATCACATCAACCTACGATTCTGTTTTAAATGGCGCATTAGCTTCTTAATCTACTTATCCGTTTCATTAGAAAGGTAGTGAGACGTTCATTATACTTTCCACATCCACGTGCAACTTGATAGCTGATAGAGCTTCGGCTATTATCCGCCGGGTTAATTTAAGGCGATTCCACTTTTAAGATTATAAGTTAGTGAAACTCATCGCGAAGTTGCGTGTAGAACTCAGGTCTTAAAACGATTATCCGCCATCCGGCACTGACTCAAAGATTTATCTCAGCCTTTTTATAACATCCGCACTTGAGTTAACATTCTTATCCTTTTTGTAAACTTGAATAAAGTCCAACCTCTACATACATAAAAAATATTACAAAAAATACTATATAAAAAAATGTAACGTAGTTTAATTAACAATCTAGATCTAGAATAACGTACAATATTATTAGAAAGAAATACAGAATAACATTAGAAGTAATATTGTTACAATATTAAATTTTTACATAAAAATTCTGCGATTTTTATAGAAATATATTAAAACACGTCTCCCTAGTTGCTCCCTCACAAATAATTTTTTAGCTAAACGGAATAAGCGCAAAAATCTTTTTGCTGATTTTGAGAGCATAAATAGCGTTATTATATAATTTATTTATTAAAATTTGGTTAAGTGTGAGGAGGGAGAGCCAGTTAGACAAACGTTGTTAAAAAATATTCTTTAGTATTAATAGTAATAATAATCATGGCGTTATTTTATAATTAATTAAAATCATGAAAAGTTAATTATTAAGGAGATCCTGAAGTGACAAAATTATCGATATTACAAATTAAAAAATATTTCGAATTGGTATTGTACAAATTGTAAAATCTTTTACATATTAAAAATAGGCGTTAAAAAAAGGTGCGAGACATTCGATTCGACAAGAAAATCGAGAAAGGATCGAAAATAAAAAAATTACATTTAATATCATTACTAACTTTTTAATTTTTTTCTGATTTTCTCATTAAATCGACAGTCTTAAGAAAAGTCTTATGCCTTTTTTTTGTACGTATTTTGATTGAATGAAAAAATTTTGCAATCTGTACAGATTCCTTTAAAGCTATAATAGTGTACAATTTTCGAAAAAGTTCAATATATTTGAAACTAGATTCTCTTTCATTAACTCAGCGATTTGTGATACGTTTTCATGTGCAAAAGTGAAAGTTAATTACGATTCTATCGATAAAATATATTGGTTTCGATTTAAACTAATTACTATTACATAATATTTTAATGTAAGGCACATTTCGCATGAATAACTTTATTTTATAAAATTTGTCATACAGGCTTACGATTAAAATTTTTGACGATTATTTTTTAAACTCTCTCTCTCTCTCTCTCTCTCTCTCTCTCTCTCTCTCTTTCTCTCTAACTATAATATATTTGTTATCTTTTTATTAATAACCAACATTTCAAATAATATTTGTGTCCAAGTTATTTAACAGAATACAGAATTAACTCTTAAAAATCTCGGTCGTTCTTTCTTTTTTGCAAATGAGACTCATTGCGCTTTTTCCGCGAAGTGAAAGCAGCGAAAGTTTGATCAGACAGTGCGTGACAAAAGAAATATTCATTTCTTTTATCGTTGACAATGGTGACATCATTAGATTCGCATCGCTAGATATCCAGGTGATGGTACCTGCATTAACTGTGTCCGTTATATAGAGTGACCTATTAAGAATGTATAATTGCTTTATTTTTGTAATGCTTAGAAGTTGTTTTCTGTTTAGAATTCAAGGCTTCTCCTGTATAAATTACACTGCCCGGTATGGACTTTAAACCATGAACGAAATCAAGCGATTCTTTTCGACTTTTTGTCACTGAAAACGAATCCGTAAATGAAATTGCTCTATCACGTCAGGTTTTCGAGAAACCTAAAAATACTGAAAATAGCATTTTTTTATAACTTTGAGTTAAAATACTTACAAAAATGTATTGGACAGTGTTATTTGTATCTTTGACCACGAAAAATATATTATAGTCTTTTTTTAAAACTGCATTTTACTATATTTTAAATAATTTAAAAGATACCATATAATAGAGTATAAAAATATAATATATAATAATATTATTGCATTATATTACATACATAAATAAACGAGGAACGATTGAGAATAGGAACGCAAAAGATTTTGTGGTATATACGGATGCGCGATCTCGAGCAATGTGACTTGAATAATCGACTGGTACATGAATAAGTCTCTTTAAAGTTCGGCGGAAATTTCTCTTGCGTCTTTCGTGACATTTGGACATGTGGATTTGGAGAGAGTCTGTTCAGAGAGGATTTCGAGAGTCTGTTACATGTAAAGTCAAGGAAAGGACCACTTCTTCTGTGCATGCTCGGTGAGCCTAAAATTCTAAATCAACAGAAGTGAAGTGCTCCTCTTTCTCTCTCTGTCACTCACACACACACACACACACACACACACACACACACACGGTGTGTCTTTTTCTATCCCCCACTTATTGGATACTAATGAGCGAATTGTCGGAACTGTTGGTCGCACTCTTTCGATCGATTGATCAATAGAAAACGTGGTTTTGCATCGCGAATAAAAACTTGCAGCAATTTGTGGAACACAGAACTAGTCACCTCACAAGGGACATAGGCAGTTTGAAAATACAGAAAATTCTAAAACATTGCGAGTAGAGTAGTTTATCCGTGAGTAAAATTAATATAAAATATTGATGAAGTACGAGAGAGAGAGAGAGAGAGAGAGATTCAACAACTTTGCCCTATTGTTTATTACTTTAAACAAAGATTATTTGTTTGACATAAAATTTCATTACATTATATTTTTGCAACGTACTTTATAAATATTCTCTATAAATACTTAGAAAATTTTACTGCGCAATTGGGTTTTCACACACACACACACACACACACACACACACACACACACCGCCTCTTTTAACTAAAAGCAATTTTTTATACA